TACATTCATTCATCGCTAGGTTATAAGTCGATGATTCAATCACTACTTTAACTACATATATAGCATGTTAGAGTATATTTTAGTGTATTCATCCCTTGTATTACAAAAGTATTAACGGATTACATTTATATTATTTAGATAGTAAATACAAAAGTAATTTTTAATTCTGACCAATGTTGACCTGAAAAGAGACCAACTTTGGTCGCTAATTATCCAGAAATTCAAATTAGCGACTAAACTTGGTCGTTAAATATCCAGAAAATTAAATTTAGCGACCAACGTTGGTCGCTAAATTTAAATAGATTTATTTATATTTTATATAATATTTAAATTAATATTATAATTGTTAAACGTTAGAACTAGGTCCCAGATTAGCGACCAAAGGTTGTCTCTATCTGCTTGCTAACTTTGAATTATATTTATTTATATTTTATAATTTTTTTAAATAATAATATAATTATTAAATTTTTATAACTAGGTCCCAAATTAGCGACCAAAGTTGGTCTCTATCTGCTTCCCCTTTCGTGAGCGACCAACTTTGGTCGCTAATTTTGAATTATATTTATTTATATTTTATAATTTTTTTAAATAATAATACAATTATTAAAATTTTATAAGTGGGTCGCTAATTTCAGCATTTCTTTGACCAAGCAAGTCTGACCAGTCCGGTCAACATTTTGACCAAATTAGCGACCAAAAAGCGACCAACCTTGGTCGCTAATGTATTTAAAATAATTATTTAATTATTTTTTCCAATTTAGCGACCAACGTTGGTCGCTTTTCCTGACAGACCAATTTTGGTCGCCAAATTTTGATCGCTTTTTTCCGGATTTTTAGTTGTGCAGATCGACCAGCTCTCTGGTTTGCAGAGGCCTTCGATATAGGAGTGACCATTAATGACTCCATTCCCGTCCGAGGGTTGCAAGACTTGATCTTAGAAAATCCTGGATCAATAACATATTTGATCCCATCAATCGTCAATGATGTTTCAGCAATATTTGTAGCTAGGACAACCTTGCGAGCCCCTTCAGGAGTGGGTTCAAATATCTTGGCTTGTAATTCAGTTGGCAGGTTTGCATATATTGGGCAAATTATCAGCTCAGGAATTTTTGTCCCCAAACCCTTTATCCGGTGCTTGATAATCTCCTCAGCTGTTCCAATCTCCTCCTGCCCAGTCAAAAAGATTAAGATATCACCATCACCAGGTGGTTGAGTTAAATGGATCTGAAGAGCAGTGACTACTGCTGCATTCAAGTAATCGGCCTCTGGTGCTATCGTGTAGAGTATATCGACTGGAAATCGCCTTCCAGGAATTTTAAAAATTGGAGCACAGTCAAAAAAATCGCTGAACTTCTCCGCATCTAGTGTTGCACTTGATATAAGCAACTTTAAGTCAGGCCGAAATCGAGCAATATCCTTAACCAACCCAAACAAAATGTCAGTTGATAGTGTTCTTTCGTGAGCCTCGTCGAGCATTATTACACTATAGCTTGCTAGATCAGGTTCTCCAACGAATTCCCGTAACAACATCCCATCTGTCATATATTTCAGAATCGTTTTTTCAGAAGTGCAGTCTTCAAAACGAATAGAGTAGCCAACCTCGTGACCGAGTTTGACTCCCAATTCATCAGAAACACGTGCAGCCACACTCATTGCAGCAACTCGGCGAGGTTGAGTACATCCAATCTTCCCACGCTTGGTATATCCCGCCTCGTGTAGATACTGCGGTATCTGTGTAGTTTTGCCAGAACCCGTTTCTCCGACAATAACAAGAACTTGATGATCATTAATAGCTTTGAACAAATCATCCCTGTAGGGATAAATAGGCAGAATCTTCCTGTCCTCCTGAAGTTTTTCAAACGCCAATGTAGCCGTAGATTTCTCTCTTAACTCAATGGGAGGCTCCTGTTCAACATTAACACCATCCATTACTGTTGCTTTTATGAACTCAATTTGATCTTCGAACACAAATTTATAGTCCTCAGATCTTGGGTTTCTATTTTTCGATCCAAATGTAAGTGTTGCCTTCGCAATCTGATGTTCTTCCCATGCTTCTTGTTCCGAAAAAAAGTTCATCTTTTCAGCAGCATCTGGATCCCTGTAACGTAGTTTTGCAACTGAAAATCTTTTATTCTGATTTACACCACCTTCAACATCATAGGCATCAGGCATTTTATATTCACCCATGACATCAGTATCTTCTGATCGCTTCTTAACTTGTTCATATAATTTTTGCTTATATCTCAGTTGGCTTTGCTCTACTTCTGTCAACTTCACTTTATCAAACAAATATTGCTCATCTTCTATTTCGTCTTTGAGTTCCTCTACCTTCTTTTGCTCTCTTTTCTTTAAGTATTCTTGTCTTGAAAGTTTCCTTAAAGTAGCAATGTCATTACACGCTAACGCATCAGACCTCTTGATGGCCTCTTCTTCCTCCTTCCTTGTTAATTTTGGCTCTACCAACTTTCTAGTCGCTGCAGCATCTCGCTCTCTGATATGTCGTTCCAACTCTTCCCTCTCTCTTTGGTCCTGAATTATTTCTTCCTCTTCTGACTCAGAGTTATCATTGTCATCTTGTTCTTGGGCAGTTCGTCTTCTAACGCGTCTTTCATCCTCCACATTCTTAACTACATCGTCATCATCTTTGTCTTCATGGGTCTCAACCCTCCTCCTGAATTTCTTTTTACGGGTATCCTCTTTCCTAGAATTACTTCCCGCGCCAACATTGTTGTCATCATCATATCATCCTCTAAAAGTGTGTAGGTCTTTTGCTTCCTCGCCAACATTGCAGCCTCCTTTTCTTGTTGTAAATACAGATTTGGCCTTGTTGTCATACGCTCAACTCTAGCAAAAATTTCTTGAGCAAACACCTGTATTTCGTCGGAGGAAGACATTCCCATATCTACAAGCTGATTTGTTAGATCAACAGCTGATGAAGCTTGCTTAGAAAGATTAAGAACATAAGTAACAACTGTGGGCTGAGAGTACCCCAGCAAAGACATTAATTTGTCTGAAACCCACTTCCTTAATTCAGACCCCATATCTTTTAAGGTTGATAGAAATCACAAGAAATTCAACA